TGTGTGCCGTTATCATGATCATCTTTATCTTTTTATCATTTTATACAAGGGAAGGACACAATGAACTTGCATGGGATTAAATGGAATGGGATTCCTACCACCACATTCATTCATTCATTCATTCATTGAAGACTGCGGTGATCAAGTAAGTTCAGCAAATTGAGCTGACGCAATCTTAAAAAAGGGAAATGGTCTATCATTTTAATCATGGCAATAAGGTGGTCTGCGGACGATGATCTTTTGCTCATCGGAATGAATGAATCGCTCGATATTTCTGAGAGTATATATGACCACGACATATGAATTTGAAAATCTTTCATGAAGAATGAGAAGGTCTGAACAATACGTACAGTAATTATATGGGGTATTTGGGGGGGAGGGTACCTAAGTTATTCATGGACAAAGTGCTTCCATATAATGGGGATAGAGATTAGGAGCATGATGCATCATCAGCGTCAGGAATCGAGGATAATTATGTTGAAAGGCGGCTGGACAGGGCAAGAAGTGTAGCGCATCAGACTATGGCTGATTGAACTATAGGCTGTGCAATGCCGTTTGGGAACCAATCCGTTAGAATTGTTGTGGACAGGCAGTATATAGGGTTGCTGCTATTATTATTATTATTATTATTATTATTATTATTGTTATCATTATAAAGTATTATACTGTGAAAAATAGTGGATCTGTTATAACATTGTCTGGTGTATTCATCACATGGTTCGTATAGTATAGTTTCGCTAATAGTCTAGAGTCTTTGATTTCCGACTGACTGACTGCGACTCATATCATCGGCCGTATATACTATGTTCAGAGTATATTTTGAAAGGTACAATATGTCAAAGCAGAAACTCGAGTCATGATCGAATATAGTCATCACGTGTTCCTATCCTACCTATTTACTTTATGCCTAAAATACTATATCGTAATTCAGAATGGTAATTTTTTAATTAATCTTTTCTAAAGTAAAGTAAAACTCAACTCGACACCTTACAATTCTGCTTCCGATGGTACAGTGAGTGGCGGTGGCTGTTGGAATTTCTTCTCTTGATCATAATTGTCTGGTGAGGTGTATTCCCACCAAGCAATAAGGTCTTTGGCATTAAAGGCCTTGGCCATGGCTGGAGAAATATTGACTCCCAATCGTTTGTCGTCACATTGGACATGACCCAATTGTTCACCCAATGATTGCAAGTTGTCATCCAAGTGACAGTCTCCTTCCGCTTCCATGACGGGAGGGGATCGTGGAAGGGCCTCCGCATTGTGCCACCAGTCATCACCCTCTGCTTGGGGTCGGTAATGGGTAAAGAGATTGACATAATACCCATTCTTACCCTTGAGAGGACGATTGCGGCCGTGAAGGTTCTTGGCAGATTCGTAATAGACGACATCACCAGGTTCCATGACAACCTCGTGGAGTCTACCACCATGGTCGTATACTTCGACTGGCCATGGTTCGTCGAGTCCACCTTGGGCAATGTTGACAATCAAACTGACCGCGTGTGTGGTATGACGATCGACATGAGTCAGGAGACGAGCCCCTTCTTGATACTGACGAAAGCCGTACATGACGGTTTCTTCTACTTCGACCCCAGCCCACTCGCTGACCATGTCCTTCAACCGCTGTTGATGCAATTCCTTGATTCTCCATGGAATTTGCAAAAAGGCAACTTCGGTTTCCCACCAATTGACAAAGACACCCTTGCCACCCCATTCTTCCAAACAAACATTGCGCTGATTATTATAATACAAAGCTCCAAGAGAAGCAAAGACGTCATCGGGAAGTCGCCCCTTGGCAAATCCCAAGGGTGAAAAGGTCCGCTTGATGCGATCTTGGCGAAACCATTCGTGCCTCAAGGATGTCTGAATCTCCCGAGTAAAGTTTCGGGAATGGGTATGGTCCGAAGGTGGCGAGTGTCCAAAGGGAAGAATCAAGGTGAATTCCACGGGTACCTTGCCCAAACTTTGATCGTCCTTGGTGGTGACCTCAAAGGTATGACCGATGTACGAATTGATGCAAATCGTGGCTTGTTCTCCATAATTCAAGTCGAATTGATAAACACGGGTGCCATCATTCTTGAGCCAATAGACTACCAATGGATTTTCACGATCGTGGTAATTCAATAGACAGACTTCGACTCTAGAGCAATGGGTGCCAAACCAATTTTGAAATTCCCCATTGCGGAGTCTATCATCTCTCTCGGTAGGAGTGTAATAGCGATGGGGCAAGACCGCACCGGCAATATGCTGCTGGACTCCTCGTTCCATACACACTGCCGGGCAGTTCTCAATGCTGCTTTCGGGTGGCAAATCAGCAAATAGGACGTCTCTGGCAGCACCAGTCACAGTGTGCGCCTCAAAGTGACTTGGAACGTAGGCTTGGGAAGGATAGTAATCACAACCTTCCGGATACAGAAGGTAATGACTGGAGACCCGATTGTTTTCATCCACTTTCAATTGGTCCAAGGAGGAAATTGTGGTGATTTCAGACTCTGATGACTGTACCGATTGAATCTGAATCAGCAGCATCAGCAGTGTAACAAGGAGGAATGGAAAGATGAAGAATGATGATGATGATGAGGCTGATGCTGATGCTGACATCTTCTTCTTCTTCTTTTGACATCCTCCTTCAGATTGAGATTGGCATTTTGAATCAGTCACGCTTCGGCTGGAAGATGAAACCGTCATTCTCTAGCTGTCAAGAGACTTGTCTTTGTAAAACTAAGCACGGGCAAAGGTGAAGGCTCAACAACAATGCTACAATACAGTGTTCAGTGTATAGCTCTAGCTAGGCCTGTTGAATAATGCGGTACATACAGTATATATACCGAGGATCGGGGTTCGTATCGTATCAAATAAAATTAACGTCTACAGTATGATTTTGAAGTTCGTCCAATGAATGTCCCCCTTCGAAAAATATTGGCTTCTCTCTAATGGACCCCTCCGACTTAAAATTCAGAAAAATGAGATCTGACGTGTTTTTCTGGAGTGAGATTCATTATTGACTCACCTCTTCGCATTCATGCTTTCGTCATCATCCACCCATCCATCAACTCTACCGTATAGTATTTGCTGAGAATTCTGTTCTGATTTGGCGACAATACAAATACAAGAATGTGGTCACCATCAAACTCTCACACGCACACGATGATAATGCTTGCGGTGGCAGTGCTGCTGCTGCTCCAGAATGATATCTCGTCATCAGCATCGTCATCAGCATCGTCGTCAGCATCGGCATCAGCATCGTCATCGTCATTCGTACCATCATGGATTCCTACTGCCAACGCTTGGCAAATAAACTCTCTTCCAAGACGGCAAACATCCCTTCATCTATCATCGCGTCCTGCCGATGACTTTCTTGCTACACCACCACCACCATCACCGCCACCACCACAACGTCAAGAGCAATCACACAAATCGAGGCCATCCTTGAACGAAATGGACGATGCTGGGAGGATTCTTACATCGTCATTATCGACGAGTATGCGCACCGACAACAGTGTATT